TCGTATCTAAAATAAATCAGGAGTAATGTCTTATCCTTATTAACCCCAATTAAACAGCCGGAATGTGTGATTCATGAAGAGATGAGAAATGTTTTCAAAGGCATAACTAAATAAATGTAGTTTTAAATTATGAACAACAGAGGCCAAAGTGTTGCAGCTGGATCTCTTACACATCACAGCCAGACAAATGCTGATCTGATCCATATCTTTTATAGTTTCCAGAGTAACAAGCTCATCTCTTGACAAACCTCAGCTGGCCTAGCTAAGATCTAGCTGAAGGTGCCACTTGAAGCAAAACTCTGCAAATACTGTATTTTTGTTAACGGAACTGTGGGAAAGGTATAGCATCTTTTTAAATGGCACAACATTTTAAATGGTACAATAAAGCAGCATTGCAAGGTATGATTTTTAATACTTTTGAAATAAATTTCAAAAACCTTTTGCCTATAAAATGCATTGTTTTTTATTGGCTAGCTGCTCTTATGACAATTTATTAAAGGAAAAATTGAACTGGAATGTCTGAGAAGCTTTTCTTGGTTCATATCAAAGAGTCCATACAACAGCAACACATTTTATTAAGGTCATTGGCCAATCAACAAGTGACCTACCCCATTGTGTTTGTCAAATAAATAATACCCTAATGAGGCTTTTAATTTTTGTGGAGTTTTAACAATCAGCTCCTGGAAAGCAGGAAATGCAGCCATAAGGAGATTTTGCCACCCTTAAACCCAAGCTTATATGATATCTGCATGCACATGTATATATACCTGTTTGCAAATATATGTACACATTTTTTGGTGTGTGTGCTTAGGTAAAGGTTCCCTTTCCACATATGTGCTAGTCATTCCCAACTCTAGGGGGCAGTGCTCATTTCCATTTCAAAGCCGAAGAGCCAGCAATGTCTAAAGATGTCTCCATGGTCATGTGGTCATGACTAAATGCTGAAGGCACATGGAACGCTGTTACCTTCCTACCAAGGTGGTTCCTATTTTTCTACTTGCACTTTTTACATGCTTTCAAACCACTAGGTTGGCAGAAGCTGGGACAAGTAACGGGAGCTCACTCTGTTACACGGTGCTAGGGATTCAAACTGCCAAACTGTCGACTTTCTGATCAACAAGCTCAGTGTCTTAGCCCCTGAGCCACCACGTCCCTATGTGTGCATACAGATGTGTATTTTCAGGTTAAAATTTTCAAGCAACTGTTAACTTTTCCAAACTTTTACAAAAGCTTTACAAAAGGTAAAGCTGTCTGTAGATTTCATTTTATTTGATACTTATTTGGACCTATATAGATTTGGAGTTGGGGTCAGGGTTAAGTTAATCACTCTGGGATTTTTGTGGTTTAAAAAGTACTTTGTACCTTTGAGGGAATGATTTTAAAATCTCTTGAGAATTAAGCCTTTTAAAAGAAAGGGAACAAATGCAGGTTGGGGCTGCATTTTCGGGGCTCCTTTTTACTGTATTCAAAGCATTGGTTTTTTTTAAACTCCACCAAAATTAAAAACATATTAGGATATTATTTATTTTACAATGCACAAAATAGGGTTTGTCTCCCAAACACCCTGCTGCCTAGAATTAGGTTTAGCATTAAGCTAATCATGTGTCCCTGGGTTGACTGTCATCTTTTTCTTGATGGGATTAGGTTCAACACACTTAAGTTCAACCCTACAGTTAGAGTTATGATCTTGCAAGTGTTGCATCATGAGAGGGAAGAGAGTTATGCAGGTCATATCCAAGGGAAGGGAGTTATATACACGTCCCTTCTATGGTGATCTGATGATGCCTTGGTTAAAAAAAGTATACATTCTTACTAATAGGTGAGGCCATGATCCTATCCTGAACTTTATGAGAAACCAATAGCAACTCTGGTTGCCCTCTGTGCAGTCACTTAACAGGCTTATGTGAGACAGCTGTGCTTTGCCTCAATCAAATGCTTTGTGCTGCAAGGGACACAATGTGCTTTGACATGTTGTTCTGGAAGCTTCCTTCTCATGCCAATAGCTGGGAGAGGCTGCGTTACCAAGCAAGGCAGTTTTTAAGAAGCATCTTGAAGCAAAGTGAGTCTGCCATGACTTGTATTGACCAAACACAATATCATATACAAGATCTTTCAGAATCATTCAGATTTTCCTGTGTATTCCCAGCATAACAAACATAAAGGTTAGCGGAACAAACAGAATTCAGTCAGTATGTACAAACAGTTCTGCTCTCCCTCCTCTGTTGGAAGTTGGAATGTAACATATTCCCTATGACTTAACTATTGTACAATTCAAAAATTAACTATTACTCTGCTGGCAATAGCACAGCTTCTATTGAAATGATGGTATTTCTAAGAAGTTGCTGCTAATGATTTTGCCAAAGAGTTAATCAAGAACTCAGTTAACCTTAGTTGGAAGCTTCCGATGGGCTCTTTTATTCCTGGGTTCTCTAGTTCCTCTTCTCTCTCTGGGTATCGGTGTTCAGTATAGAAATTATTCCATGTTGTATCATTTTCCTTAAAAGGTAATTGTTACATCAAATCCATTTTGGTGGTCTTGAATCCTGCTGGAACTTGCTTTTCTTTAGCAGTCCAAGAAAGCACAATTCCATCTTTGCTTGCTTGCCATTCTCCTCCTCCTCTCCCTTTCTCCAACTTTCATTCAACTCCTTCTTGAAAGCTTCTTAGCCATTTCAATTTTTACTATGAGAGACAGTCTGTGTGATATCCAGATTACTAGTCAAAAGTAGTTTGTATGTCCAGGCAGTCACATAACAATATAGCAGCAATAGCAGTGGACTTATATACCGCTTCATAGGCGGTTTACAGAGAGTCAGCATATTGCCCCCAACAATCTGGGTCCTCATTTTACCCACCTCGGAAGGATGGAAGGCTGAGTCAACCCTGAGCCGGTGAGATTTGAACCGCTGAACTGCTGATCTAGCAGTAGCCTGCAGTGCTGCATTTAACCACTGCGCCACCTTGGCTCTTACAATGACGTTTAGCTTCTCCTTTTCTGTCACAGACTCTGCAAAGTTCTGCACAGTTCTAACCCTTGAATGTAAATCAATTTGAACTTGGTGGTATATATATAGGTCCGAGCAACCATAGTGTTTAAGCCATGTTTGCATTAGTTAAATTGTGGTACACTCTTGCTTGTAACACCACGAACTTCTTCTTATTGCTTTAAAAGGTAATATAACTTTTAAAGCCTTTTGGGGGATTGAGATTTCAGCAAAAATATTTCACAGATTTGATGTCTCTTGCATAAAATGAAGAGAGTGCTTCATTTGCTAAGATCTGAATGGATAATGAAGCACTTGCGTAATTGCAAGATAAAAGGTGTTTAAGGTTAAAGATTCTCAGTAGCTGTTCCTTCTAGGCACTGAATGATACTGATGAAGACAATGCTGAATAGAAAGCAAGTATGCTCTTGGGACAGAGACTCAGCCTTTCAAGCTAGCTCCATTTCTATTCCCCAAATGTCTACAATATACGTTTAAATTAGAATAGAGGCATTTCCTGGGTTAAGAACATCTGACTTATGGGCAACATGTATTTACAAGCAGGCTGCCTATTATTAAAAATGGCAGAAGTGCCATGTTTTCGTGAACTGCTGAAACCACATGTTTCTAATATACCGCCTGTTTTCAGTGGTTTTCAGCAGTTCATGAAAACATTGTTCAGCTTCAAAGGTTTGGCGGTTCAAGGAAGGAGCATGTCGTCCACCATTTTTAGTAGGAGGCAGTCCATTTATAAGTACAAGTTCTGATTTACATAAAAATTCAAGTTCATGATACACTTAGCAATGAATCTCGGTCTTAAATCAGGCGCTACCTGTACTTGGCAGTTTTCATCTTTTTCAAAACTGTAGGGCAACGTTCATATTGCTGTACAAATGAGTAGATCTAATTTTTATGAACCTATGTCTTGCATTAAGAACTTTAGTCAATACGTAGGGTACACTTTAAGGGACGTGGTGGTTCAGTGGCTAAGATGCTGAGCTTGTCGATCAGAAAGGTCAGCAGTTTGGCAGTTCGAATCCCTAGTGCTGCGTAATGGAGTGAGCTCCCATTACTTGTCCCAGCTTCTGCTAACCTAGCAGTTCAAAAGCATGTCAAAATGCAAGTAGAAAAATAGGGACCACCTTTGCTGGGAAGGTAACAGCATTCCATGCACCTTTAGCATTTAGTCATGCTGGCCATATGACCACAGAGATGTCTTCGGCTGGCTCTTTNGGAGTATAAGACGCACCAAGATTTTGAAGAGGCAAATTTTTAAAAAAGTTTTTGCATTCTGCAGACCTCCCAAAAATGGCTCGTTTCTGTCAAAAAAAGGGCCTGAATACCCTTTAAGAGGCTTGTAGAGGGGGTGGGGTTTTTGGGAGGCCAAAAATGCTGTATTCAGTGTATAAGACGCACCCAGATTTTCACTCTCTTTTTTGAGGGAAAAAGGTGCGTCCCCATCCAGCAGATGGGGCTGGGGTATTCTGGGAATTAAAGTCCACTCATCTTCAGGTGGGCCAAGGTTGAGAAATACTGTCCTAAGGGATAGTGTTAGAAAGTAAAGATGTTGACTGAGACCACACAAAAGACACCATGACTCCTTTCAAATGTGTTGTCAATATGGTAAATGTAAAAATAGAGTGAGATTTTTACTGAACAAATGTGGTTGCCATCTTGACTTTATTTTAACTTCTCTCCCTCACATACATCTCTGAATCAAAGTATCCAAAGTTCCAAATAAAAATACAAATACATAGAAATTTATTACAAACACATAAATGCCCAGAAAACATAAACATGTGGAACAAAAGAGCCTTTTATGTAAATTATTCTAGAATGGCATAGCATCTTTTTCTTAGCTCTTTCTCCTTAAGGAATTCCTGGTATTAAATAATCACTGATGGGTACCAAAGGTGATCACCTTCTATATTTTAGTGATTGCTATCTTCTATAGGAAAGGAACAAGTTGCTCCTGCTTTGCTCTTCTGCGTCACATGTTCACTTTTTAATTCCTAGGGGAAATATAAAGGGACGTAAGCCATATGTCATGGGAGCTTCATGTTCCATGTGCCCAGATGGCTACTTCTGCAAGAACAATCTTTGTGGTAAGTCAGTGGAACCTGAGAGTCTTTTAAATATTCCCAAGTGACGGCTGGTTGGAAAAAAGGCAACTTGTTTATGTCCTAGAACAGTGATGGCACCAAGTGCCTAAAGTGTGTGCATGTGTGCTTGCGTTCTATGAATGCATGCACCCTGCACTTGTGCGGCAGAATCCTGAAGACCAGCTAACTGGTGGAAGGCATGCGCGCATGCACGTCAGAGACCCGAAACAGAGCTGGGGCGACAGCATGCGTACCCACAGAGAGGGCTCTGAGTGCCATAGGTTGACCATCACTGTCCTAGAAGATTAATTCTTTCCTCCATGATTATCTGTTAAATTTAAATTAATTCTGCTGCTGGTAGCTACTCTGCAAATACACCATTTCAAAAACTGATGACCAGTAGATGTGTTTGACTTCCACTGTCCTCAGAGGGAAGCTGATTTACTCTTTTTATAATTCAGTAACTGCGATTACTGTGATAAAGTGCATGTATAAAATAGATCAAACATTTCAGACTAAGCTTTCTGTCTCATGTGGCCACAAATCAAACATATTTCTATGGAGACAGTGACATATTCAATTGAAATCCATCACGAACAAAGTAATGAGGGGATTACTTCATCTTCTCTCATAGTTATGCTATTCTGAATAATGAGGGGATTAAAATATGGACATTTATTGCTGATAAATTACCCAAGAGTTCCAACTGAGGTTATATTGGAAAAGAACGACTTAAATGACTATTTTTCTCTCATGATGAAGTCCTTTATAGCTCAAAATTCTCTCCAGGTCTGTATAGCATCTACATGAAGATGCTAAGGGAGGTCATCCAAAGGCATTGGGTTAGGTCCAGTAACTGATGATGCCTAGTTATTTATCTCAATCCCTATCTGACCAAATGATGCTCTTAAGGTTTTGTTGCAGTGCCTGAGGCTGATGGAGGTGACTTAGGCTCAACTCTGGCAATATAGAATGATGCTTATAGATATCGGAGCAACTCAGTTCCAGAAAGTTCCAATTACCAGAATCCTTGCCTACCAACCACTCGTTCAGTGGCTGTTCAAAGTTATGATGGTGTTGAACGGGTAGTACTTATGATTGGTTCTCAAAGTTCCAGCTGGTGCACCTTGATTTTAGTCATGTGATCACAGTGTAGTCATTTTGCAACTGGTTCACACGTATGAAGGCTGCAGCACCATTAGTTATGTGATAGCTTTTTGTGACCTTCATTTCCAGTTTCCCATAAGCAAATGGGAAGCTGATAGACAAGATCACAAATAACTCTAGTATCGCCCCACCCATCCTCCCTGGACTTGGTGCTACATCATAGAACCCCTGGTCCTCAATACTCTCCCATTCTTTACCTGGTACTCGCACCCTTTCCCACTTAATGACCCATGGTTTAGACAGCAACCTGGACTATTGGGATCCCTATTGCTAAGAGATGCAGTCACGTGACATTGTGCTTTATGACCTTGTCACTTAGCAATGGCAATCCCAGTCCCAATTGTCTTCACAACCCAAGGACTACCTGCATTGGTTTTCAATGACGTTGCAATTCTCCAGATAGAAGAGATCTAAAATTTAGGGGTCCTTCTAGACTCTTGGCTCCTGCTCAAAAAGCAGTTGGAAACTGTGGCTAGGTGAAACTTTGTGTAGTTTATTTTGTGTGTTATTTGCGTTCATAGCAAATAGCACATATTGCATGGGAGACTATACTCACAATCATTTATGTCTTATAGATTTCTCACTTGGACTATTGCAATACATGTTCCATGGTGTCATTGTCCTTGAAGATAGTTCATAGTTATAGCTGGTGCCATAGTAGCATGCATAGTTATGGGTGCACCTTAGTATGCCTACTGCATGTACGCTACTACTGCATGAACTGCACTGATTATCGGTGGAATTACTACTACAAAACAGTATAGGATATGAATATGGCAGAAGACCTGCAAGACAGTTTGTCTCTAATCATCACTGCTTACTTTACAAGATCCAATAGGATTGACATACTCTAGATTCCATCAAGTAAACAGGCACTCCTTTTCGGTCACAGTGCCTGACTCATAGAACAGCATCTCTCAAAAGATTTGGCTGACACCAACCCTCCCATTCATGAAGTTTGGAAAAACTAGATTTTCTCTTAGCCCCTAGGCTGGGTGGGCACATAAGAGAAGAGATCAAACATTTCAGACTAAGCTTTCTGTCTCATGTAACCACAAATCAAACATTTCTGCTGGAAATGTAAATATGTTTGTTGTGCTTACTTCTAGATTTGCTATGTATTTTTTTTATGATTGCTTTTTGTTGCAATGTTTTTTAAACCCTGTTAGTCACCTGGAATCGATCTGTGAGTAGGCAGCCATACGCATTTAATTAATTAATTAAAATCAAGAGTTGGTCCTTAGGAACGTGGCTTCTTAATGACATTTGATTACAATGATACATGTCTAGTTCATGGTGGTTTGCAAACATGGCAACCCAGTCCGATATGATAGATGTGATCCAAGTCCTTTTCCTTAGACATTGTCACCTTATGGGACCTCACAGGGGCCTCTTCTCTATAGCCATCCCATCCTTTAGAATAGCTTCCTTATGAATTTGCCTTTCCTCCCTTTAGCTTTCAAGAAGGTTGTGAAATCTTGTCTCTGCCCTCCAAAATTAGGCTAGGTTAAGATTGGATGGGTCCGAAGAGGAATGTTCTGGGAATAGCAACAGCACTTAGACTTATATACTGCCCTATAGTGCTTTACAGCACTCTCTGGGCAGTTTACAAATGTCAGCATATTGCCCTCAACAATCTGGGCTCTCATTTTACTGACTTTGGAAGGATGGAAGGCCGAGTCAACCCATACGGATCGAACTCCTGGTGTGTGGGCAGAGTTAGCCTGCAATGCTTCATTCTAACCACTGTGCCACCAAGACTCTGGTGGGTATGGAGGGGTAGGAAAGAATATGATCTATTGTTATATTGTTTTTATGGATTGTTGTGAGCTGCCTGGGGTCACTGTATGAGATAAGCAGCCAAGTAAGTTATGCATGAGGAAACCAATGCTAATGGATATAGATACATGCTTAATCTCTTCAGTATTTTATGTCAATCAATGCTAAAGATGAGAATAAATCTGTTGTCTGAGATAGAAAATGCCAGTGGTATCCTCTTCTTGATATTGTTTAAAAATATAAGAATTAAATAACCTTTTCCTAATCTGGTACCCAGGTTGGTGAAGGCAAACTAAATAATTAACTTTTGTTGTGTGCTAATGGAGTCCCATTTAAATGATGCTCTAAATAGTTGCAGTGCCTCTATGAGGCACAAATGCTTATTTCATCTTTTATGAAATAAATGTCTGAACTCGGAATAATGGATTGCAATGGAGCTTTCCAGGGCCCAACTAAGCAACATTGGCATCTGTTAAGATCCAGATGGCATCCAGATTTAATTTAAAAACAAACGTCTATGTGCTGCTTTTTAAAGGCATCCAAAATCTTCAACCTGGGATAGCCACCAGAGTCTCGTACACAGCAATCCCTTCCAGCAGCATATAAATAAATGTGTGTCAAAGTGCAGTGCTATTTCCCTGCCCCACAAATTATTGCTGATTTTCTGTCAATCTGTATTTTCTACCAGATTCCACTGCTGGTGTAGAAGAAACTACTGTACCACCCACAGCAGCTACTATCCTAACTGAAAGCCCAGGTTTGCCGTCCATCATAACAGTTTCAACAGCACACATACCAGAAATTGGCACCGAAGCAGGATCAGAACCTCCCACTGCAGACGATGAAGACACCACTTCAGGCTCCCAAATTGGAACAGAAGCACAGCCCATTGTGACAGAAGGGTCGGATGTGGATCCTTACCTGCAGACAGGCACGGATGTGATTGATGAATCCTTGATGACCACAACCAGTGCTACGCCTTTTGTAAACTTAATCCCGTCTTCTATGCCTCCTGAAACAGAAACTAAAGAAACTACTGGCACAGAGCATCTATCTTCTGCTGATGTCTTAACCCCAACCCAAACATCCTTGATCAAAACTGAGCGACCTGTAACTACTCTCACAACTACAAAGACTCTCTCCACTCCCAAACTGCCATCTGTACCTAAGACCCCCTCTGTGCCCACGCCCCCCTCCGTGCCCAAGATTCCCTCTGTGCCTAAGCCCCCCTCTGTGCCCAAGCCCCCCTCTGTGCCCAAGCCCCCCTCTGTGCCCAAGCCCCCCTCTGTGCCCAAGCCCCCCTCCGTGCCCAAGCCTCCCTCTGTGCCCAAGCCCCCCTCCATCCATAAGCCTCATTTTTATCCTAAGCCGCCCCCCATGCC